AAAACATGATTGATTTGCATCGGAATGAAGTATTGGCCTCGATAAAAAGGGTGTATGTTTTGGAGGTTACTGTTTGTAACTCCCAATCCATAGGGTCTAGTTCTGGGGTTTGAATCCTGTAGCCGGGCATATGCTGTGATCTTGGGCAGTTCACTTTAGCCTATTGTCTCTAGTAGGCCATATAAACTGGCCAAGAATTTTTATGTGTTATCATTGCTGCGAGCAAGCGTGAAGTGACACATTTATCCACTAGCAGGACAATTCACGTACCGCACCCTATTCAAAATTGCACCCTGACCTCTGATCTGAATTAATACCCAATAACATATCAATGACAAATTTAATATATACTAATTCTTTCTGGTACTCAAGTGAATACATCTCCATGTCTCCTGTGCCGGTCTAAAATGCTGTTTTAAGACCAGCCAAGCACATATTTATTTCCATTCACATATATCATTTTGGACAGAGTCAAAGGAAATTAATAAATTCCCAAAGCTTTTGTTCAAAAATATTCCTTCATTTCCTAGAACACCCCTGTCCATTTGATGGTATATTCCTTTTGCAAGTAGTCGAGAAGAATCTCCCTATAATATGGACTTGGCACACGCGTGGCATTCCCCCTGCCATGGGCACACAGACTCTTGACCAATCTGAATCGATTAAACTGTTTTGTATCCAGGTGCCAGTGCGTGCTTTACACAATGGGCATTAACAAATGTTAATACACAGTCATTTCGATCAACATAAAAGCATCTTCTGATTCTCATTTCCTTAATAGAAATTGGAAGATATATTAAAAAAAGCCTCCAAGAGATAAAACATAGAGTCGGTTTTTTTTTCCAGCACTTACAGTTTCTTTGTCGTGTGATTGCTGTGTCTTTATGAAGGTTGCCACATTTTCAGAAGAATTTATAAAGTGAATATGTATTGTGTTGATTGTTTATCATGGCAAGTGTTGAAGTGCTGGCATACATTAACATGTAAAACAAAAATTTTCTTTTTGTTTTTAGATAACGAGGATCCCAGTATCATGTGCCCAGATGACTTGATTAGATATACTGATGTTGGAAAGGCCAATACCACTGTCACTCTACCTGCTGCTACAACAAGTGACAACTCTGTGACATCATTGACAGTGACTACCAATCCATCTGGGTCTCCTGTCCTTGGTATTGGCAACCATACTGTGACATACACTGTTACTGATGATAGTGGGAATCCTGCATCATGCAATATCACAGTCACAATCAAAGGTCAGTTCATGCAATCAAGTGACAGCTAGTTTGAAGTTAACAGTTGCTATAAATGTGGAGAACAGCAATGCAGGGTTGTGAAACATATTAAATCTCTCCTGTTAGACTTTAATTTATTCTGAAAGCAGATTCACTTTTAGCATTGTGGGTTGATGTTTTATTCATTTTGTTAAACTTTTGATCATCAAAGGGTTGTGTTCAAGGTCGGCAAAGATAAGAAATTCTTGCACTAAAAAATGGGCAGTACACATGTGTGTGCCTATATGTGACACTAGTTTCCCACTCAAGTCAAGTTGTAAGTCAAAGAAATCTTAACCCTTTTATTTGGCATTTTTCAACAGATGAAGAGCGGCCCAATCTGATTTGTCCAGCCAACATCACAAGGCACACAGATGAGGGTCAGTCATTTGCCACTGAGACCTACAGCCCTCTTGTTCTGTCTGATAATGATGGGAACATGCCAAATCTGACGTCAGACCACCCTGGAAACACCTTTTCAATTGGAGAGACAATTGTCACATTGACTGCAAGAGATTTGTCAGGCAATGAGATTAATTGTTCATTCTCCATAATTGTCGAAGGTGAGCTTCAGTGCAGTGTGTGTTTCAAAGATTTTAACTCCCCCTACCTCAAATTTAACAATTGGAAATGGAAAAAACCAAATGAAATTGTCATCCGTCCATCACACTTTCTGACGTTAAGTTGCATTTATTAAACAGTGATCTAATTTTCATGTACACTGTAACAAAAACTAGTAAAGGGATTTCAGATTTTTCTTTTTTAGATTAATGTCATAGGAGGATGTTAAGCCCAATTTTGTCATTCCCTGACACTCAAGGAACCTTGAGGGCCAGACATAAATGTCCGAGTTCTTTTGTTTTAGACAATGAGGATCCCCGTCTCATGTGCCCGGATGACTTGATAAGGAATACCGATGTTGGACAAGCCAATACCACCGTCATTCTACCTGCTGCTACAGCAAGTGACAACTCTATGACATCATTGACAGTGACTACCAATCCATCTGGGTCTCCTGTCCTTGGTATTGGCAACCATACTGTGACATACACGGTTACTGATGACAGTGGGAATCCTGCATCATGCAATATCACAGTCACAGTCAGAGGTCAGTTAATCTGTTTCTTATTGTTATCATATCTCTCAGTTAGGAAAAAGAGAATGTAAATTTATTATTGAAATGATTCCTACCTGTATAATCTGACTGTTTGTCATTGCCAATAGGTTGATTCTGTCATCTCAGTTTGCTTAAACCTTATGAGGTTTTATCGCATAATCTGATATCAAATATGGACGAATATGGTTTGACATCAAAGCATTAACAAATGCTTAAAATGTGATTAATTATTGATGTATAAGAATGATTCACATCATAGAGTGATAAATTTGATAGAATTTCTTTGTTGTCAACTTGGTTGTGGAATAAAATACTCTCAAGATGTGTAACTTGTGGTCGTGTTTTATTGAGCACTGTCCTGTGATTCTGACATCTCTTGGCATGCCCTTGGATGTAAAGATAAAGAAATGAACTTGTGTGATAAGCCACAGGAGTGTATGTTGCTGCAGATGTGATACTAGTTTTGTGCAATATACACTCCACACGTTGCTGTTGTTTTGCATAGCTGTCTGTAATTGCTGGTGATTCCGGCCTGTAGAAGTTTAACACCATATATTCATTCTACCGTTGTTGATGTTTTCTCTAATTTACGCTTGTTTACATTTTGTGAGAAGAAGGTTTATGAGAAGTGGCTCAGACCTTCCAGATTCAGGTATGCTTTCTCTGGCAGTGTGCCTGCAAGAAAAAAAGGAGAGGAATTCTACATGTACATGGAAGGAATATGTAGATGAAAGATCTCTGGTACGATATGCATCTCTTCTTTGAAGAAGTGTTGTTTTGAAAAGAGCTGGTAGTGAGAGTATTCTCGATTTTGTGATGTGTACTCTTGCTGTCTACAGGAGGAAAGAAAAAGTGTTTGCTCAGTGAAGGGATGAAATAGAGAAAGCCCTGCTGTTTGTTGCCATTTGATTTCTGTTTTAGTTTCTCTTATTGATCCATCTTTAGTCCTACAGACTTTGTTGACAGTTTTGCAACCTGGAACTTTGATTTACTTGAAACCGTTTTCAAGTGGGATGCTGCATTTTTAAATCTTTATAACAAACATTTGACTTTTTCAACAGATGAGAAGCCACTAATCTGCAGTCAACAGACAGTTTGTGCTTGTGTTTTATTACATTTTTTTCACCTCAGTCAGGTCTTTCATTTAACATAAAATCTCGACCCTCCCTGTTGGCATCTTTCAACAGATAAAGAACCGCCCAACCTGATGTGCCCGGCCAACATTACAAGGCAAACAGATACCGATCAGTCATTTGCCACTGAGACCTATAGCCCTCTTGTTCTGTCTGATAATGATGGGAACATGCCAAATCTGACGTCAGACCACCCTGGAAACACCTTTGCGATTGGAGAGACAATTGTCACATTGACTGCAAGAGATTTGTCAGGCAATGAGATTAATTGTTCATTCTCCATAACTGTTGAAGGTGAGCTTCAGTGCAGTGTGTGTTTCAAAGATTTGAACTGCCCCAAATAATGATGTTGGAATGGAATAAAGTGAATTGAAATGTCCAATATTTTGCTGCTACACTTCGTGAGATACATTTTATTGCACTAATGAAATACAAAGCGGATAGCTGTTGGAAACTTTAAAGTAACCTGGAGATGGACATTGTTGGTTTCTCACCACCAAAAGGTCAGGGTTTATCAAGTGTGTCATCACCTCAATCAAAAAAGGAAAGACATTTTCTCATCGTTATTCTCATCATTTGTCGCTTCTACTTGTGATTTCCACCCCTACCAACACAAGATGTACAGCAAGCCCGCTTTGGAATAGTGACATAAAATTCCCTCAATACTGGGCTTGTTCAAAAGCATTTGATTGACCAATACAGAAGCAGAATGATCTGGAGCAGGAGCCTCAAGCCAACCTGAGTAGACCTATCGGAGATTTCATCTAGTGCCTTGTGCGTGCCATTGTAATTCACCGGAGTTCTGGTAATTACGATCTAGTGTTTTGTTTTCAAATTTCAGTTTTATCATGATCCAATTGTATCTGCAGACTCTCAACCTCCAGCTCTGGAGTGTCCGTCTGAGGTCATAGTGTACACTGATCAGCTAGTCTTCCCCCTGCAATTCTCAGGTCAGTAATCATTTTCAACACAGTGAATTGCACATTTTGCTTTCCCTGTCTGCAGAGGCTGCCAGTTACCAGCAATGTCAGTAACCCCCATTATAATGAATGTGTTTGGCTTTCAATGGTCACTTTGGGCAATCCGTCAATCTGTGTGCAGTCAGTTAATCTTATAGCAAGATCTGTTGAAAGTTCCTACCATCACACCCAGTTGCCTTTTCTTTCCAGTTCACTTTTGAAAAAGGGAAATAAAGACCAAGATTTCGTGAAGGATCTTCCAGTAAAAGTAATCTCTGACATTCTGCGGTAAAATGAAATGCAACGGAAAGCAGATGCTCTGCATCATGTTCAGCAGTCTGAAGAACCTTCATGTGATGGGACTTGCTCCATGGCAGAGCCATGGTGTGCTGTTTGGCATGAGAACAATCAATAAATGTCACAATCTCTCCACTTCCTTTTCCCTATTTGCCTTTTTTAGGTATCTGTTCTTTGTTGTGACCTCATTGATGTAATATCAATAGGGTCGATTCACATTACGGTGCTCCACTAAATGGTTGCTATAGAGAGGCCACTGTTCAACTTTATGGTTGACAAAAGCATGGCAGCCTTGCCGCATTTTGCGTTTGACCTTACGTGAGTAGCCAACTTGGGCAAAGTTTTAATAGATTGGGACATTCCATGCAAAAGAAACAAGGAGGGATAAGTTAAAATTACCACTGTGTATGAATCTTCTTCCCTGTCAAACATAACTCAAGTTCCCAGCGCACATCGGAAGATTGGAATTTGTTGACTACTTCCCACTGTGCACTGCAAAAAAAAAAGCCTTTTCGTGGCAACCTGTCGGTGGCGCACTGTATTGCGAGTCGCCTTGTATTATCCCCCAAAAAAGAGAAGGTGCATTAGCCATAGCCATGAGCATCACATGCTTTTATGGAAGCCATATCTTAGGGCTGCATCCACTACCCATGGATAATTGTGTCACTGGCAGTCACAGCCAGGACTTTAGGATGTATTCTAAGTACTTGTTATTTATTGACAGGTTATGCCTCGTGGACAATCAACGTAACCGACAATTCACAAATGCCATTGCTCCGAAACGAATCCACACACCAGTCTGGCAGTTTCTTCAACACTTCCATTACGAATGTCACGCACACGGTAGTGGATGCCTACAATAATGTTAATCAGTGCTCCTTCTGTGTCATAATCATGGGTAAGGAGAAGTAATTTTGTTTGTTTCCTTTGTTTTCCCATTTGAGATTGAGCTCCTTAACTTGTTTAAGAAAGAGCCTTAGAGCCCTTTTTCCATTAAACTGGGCCTCGGTTTGACACAGGGACATGATCTGTTTTTAACAGTCACAACCGACCCTCAGAAATAAGGTTTTTACTGTGATGGTAATTACACTTGTGAAAACGGTTCATGCATTTCAGGATTTGTGAATACCATCTGCAACCCATCTGGAAGCGACTTGGACCTGTCTGAACTGGCCGGCAGGGGAGTCCGATACCATTTGCTTTCGCCAAACTTCAACATAAGTGAAACTTACCCCAGCAACAGCGATTGCACATGGCGCATCTCAGCGCCTGCCGGCACCCACATACGCGTCCGCTTTGAGGCGTTTGACACTGAGTTTGGCAAAGATGTTCTCACCTTGGGTAATGGCCTTGACTTTGCCCTGATCAACACAAGCCTGGCAAGGTACAGCGGCAAGTTGGTGGAGCTGGTGAATGGCACGCATCACACCAAGGACCGAGTATACGGCAATGCCATCTGGCTTCATTTTGTGTCCGACCAGACCTTCGTGCAAAAATTCTTTGGTTTCTGGCTTCAGTTTGACTACATATCTGATCCACGTATGCAAATAATTTTCCTCGGTATTCTCCACAATTTTTACACAGTTTGGTTGCTAGCTTCAATTTGACTATGTGTCTGATGCATGCATGCAAACAATTTTTGTCGGTATTCTGCATAAGTTTTACAAAGTAATCTTTTTGTAATTTTTTTACAAAGTAATCATAGCTATATCTTCAGAAAAATTTCCCCTGGCCCACCGTGTGCCTTTGGAGATGCTGATACCTGACATTGATCTCATAGCTTTCCCAAGGGGAATCTTAGCAGACCCTTGTCTTAGAGTAGGGTCATAGTGTTTATGGGACACGCACACACTGCTTATCTCACTTTGGCAGAGAGCAGAAGGTTGGAGATCCCAAATGTCAAAGTCATCCACATGGCTTGTATAACACATAAGCCACTGGAAACTTATGTCATCCACTAGGTATAGCTGCTTTCTTAGGCACTCATGCTATTTCGAGCTGTAGCCAGGTAATTTGGAGACAGCTGAGTTAATTAAAGTTAGGTACATGTACGCGTCAGACTATAAACTATTTGTATAATAGGCCATTATGATGTTGTTCTCTTGCATACCAGATGTCAGAAAAGCCTAGTTATTCCTTTAACATTCTTTCATGTGATTTTGAATGGGATAAATGAATGGTTGATTAACCCGGCTTTCAACTGTCCCCTTTGCTTGTAGCCTGTAGAAACCACTGCAATTCATACAAGAGAAAGTTTAGGCTTGTGAAGTTGTGATCCATTGTCACGTTTATATGGACAGTGGCGGTGGGCTCCTGGTCGCAGTTGGATTTTGTGAGTTGCTTTTTTCCCTCACAATACTCCCGTGGGCAAACTTGTCAAGGTTGCAGTCAACTCCATTACGAGTCCCCACAAGTCCATTGCAAGTCCATCACAAAACATCCAGTCTTTAGCCAAGTCGCAACCTCTTGGAATCAATTGTGACTAAAGGCACTTGTTCATTACACCTCCTGCTACTTGTGACTGGTCTTTTGAAAAGACTTGTGATTACCTCGACTGGGACACTGCAAGTTCTCTTGATAGCTGGGGGTTAGAGGGATTCAACTTCCTCTTGAGTGGCTTAAAATTAGGGAAGAAAGGAAGACGATAATAAATGCCCCCCCAACTCAATAACGATCTTCCTCCACCTAGCAAAAACCTTTTTGCATTCCTTCCTTGCTCTGCTTCAGGCTCATTGTACCCAGCCTCTCATTCGTTCTGTTCTGAGTTTGACGGGTTCCCTTGTCTGGACGGGTCATGCGTCAACATTTCCAAGCGATGTGATGGTGTTGCCAATGACTGCCCCAGCAACGAAGACGAAACAGACTGCCCTCAAGGTACAGAAAACTGGAAATGTAACCTGTTTATCAGTGAGTTTAAGTGAGTTGGCAGTGAAGGTTGAGTGTCAATTATGAATTTGTTGATTTTTTTTTTCAAAACTACCATGGGGAAGTAGAGTTTTTAGTGATCTGTTTTTGGCATGCTATGGCGCAGACAGTTCTGAGATCCTACGTACCAAGTTACCAATTCTTCATCTTTTTCTTTTCAGCATGCAAGGGAATTGATTAACTTCATAATTGTAATTGAGACTGTCTACATTTTAATAGCTGTCTACATCACTGCAGCATTTTCTGCATACCTGTGGCTTGAAAGAAATTAGATCCACATGTAAAAAGAAAACAAGTATGAAGAGTGAGTCTTGTTTCTTAAAACTGACCTTCACAAGTATCATAAGCCGATTGGGAAGTTCCTATTTTTTTTTCTAAAAAAAGTGTAAATTATTGTCTATAAGCTCCGGGGTGTCCAAAAATATTTTCCCCAAATGTTTCTTATAGAACATCAAAAGGATTGATCAGTTGATTGAAGAGTTGGTTTTACAGATTTTTTTTCTTTTTGTGTTCCAGTTTGTTCTGGGTCACTGCCACCCCAGAGTGCCAACTTTACAGCCGATAACGGTGTGTATTACACAGACATTGTGTCGGATAATTACCCCGGCGAGTACCGACCATGCAACATGCGATGGAACATTGATTCAAACTTTGTTCAAGTAAGCACCACTTCATTGTGCTATTATTCTAGATAGCCTTTTATAAATTTCTTATTGAATTAAAGCAATTGCCGTATGCTTGTACAATTAACTTTCTTCAATTCCCCTTTTTTTAGTCACTACACAGACTGTTGCAAGTGCATCAGTTGTCAACCACATACGTGTGGTTCTAGACGTTTCTCTTCTTTTTAAATGTTCCAGAACCATATGAATAACAAGAAGAAAATGAAATCTTCGCTGTATAGTAACGCTCAATTTAAAAGCAGTAAAAGTGAAATGATCTATCTGTAGACGTCCCCCCCAAAAAATTAGCATAAGTTGAGCCAAGCACCCTCTGTACTGAAAGCAAACAAACATCTGTCACTGAAGTGCAACAATTGAAGTCATAACATCCAGCATTATGCAGATTTGGAATGTTTATTATACAATGCAGTAACCGTAGTAGTTGGGAAATGTGTCTCAGCTTTGGTAAAAAGTAGACAATTGTTCTGTAATGATGTAGGTTTTTGGCAATAAACACAGTGCGGTCTGTCAATAATTGTCCGGTATGATTGCATATAATCTGCAGCTGTTTAAGGAGTTACTTGCACCATTTGGAATCCATTTTGTACGGTTGTTTAGATCTTCACTTTAACAGCTTTTTGTGCCCTTTTTTGTTTTGCACGTAGTCTGTTCGCATTGTGGTGATGGATATTCAAATTGGGGCTCAGGACCGGCTGTACATCGTAGACCAGGGCACAGGGAATGCAGTGACGTCAGACATCGACTCATTGGTCAGCCTGCATATAACGAGCAGCACGAGCCTTGCCGTGATCTTTGAGAGCTCAGGTGGAGCGCAGCATGGCTTCTGGATCAGGGTGTGGCGATACATCCCTGGGAGAAATGGTGAGTGCTGATGCTGTAGCATAGGTTTAAAGATTTTCAGCTACAGGCTGGTTGCAGCACAAAACCTCTATGCTGATCAAGATGTACTCTAGTTGTATGCAAATTAGTAGCACCAGCAGAAAAGGATGAACAGGGCCTGAACTTTCAAGGGGAGTTTGAATTTACCAAATGAAACAGTAGAAACAGTCTGTAATAATAAGCAGGTCATGCTGAAAGATGTGATCCATCAACCGTCCATCTTTCCCTGAGTCTCATGCTGTGGACATGCATGTGTGCCTCATTTCCCTGTAGATTTGTAAACAAACACACATGTAGTGTCCATCAAGTCTACGGAAGTGGAAAGTGCAGAGAACTTGCATAATTTTTTTGGGCCACATGAATGGCCTGTTTTTATGGGTAATGGTGGAGCCTGGGTGGCACAACGGATGGACTCATAGTAAGCAGTATCATGCATGTTACCAAAATGATACTCAAGAGTCAGTGTGGTGTTGGACTTAATTTTTAAAAGTTCATGTTGCCTTTTCCAAAAAGCATGCTCTGGAACCAAAAGTTAATCACTGTGGATGATACGCTAAGTAGGTTTCTTTCAGTGCAAACCTACTGTCGTAGTATTCTTGTGGGCCATATTTCCCATCGAGAAGATTTTTCTTCTAATATTTCTTCTTGATTTGCGGCAGATTTTCTTGACTTCCCTGCATACTGCGAGAAAGCCTTGCACGGCGTGCTCTGTGGTACCGGCACAAGCGGCATCGCCACCTGTTTCCCTGACACAGAGAGATGCGATGGGGACACAGACTGCTTGACCTTCAACAATGATGAGAGGGACTGCCAAGCAGCCTCATACGGTGAGCAGCATATGAAACCAGAGATTTCATTCTGAGGAGAATGGGGAGGTTTGGGAATAAAACAGCAATATGCTGTGGGCAACGATAAAAGGTTCTGATTACTTTCCCTTGCTGATTTCCTCTTGAATGTATCAGACTTTCAGGACAGAAGTTGCAGGCCGGACTTTCTTTTCGGCAAGTGGGGAAAAATACATTTGAAAATGAAGTTTAAAGTGTAGCCGCAATGACTTTTTCTTAGTGACAATTTTTCTGGATCTTTGTTCTTTTCTTCATTTGAAAACTCTTACGCACTCCTATTTGGTTAATTGTAATGAAAGGTGGACACTTTAACACAATCAAAATTATCTATGTTTTCACAAACAACTGAGGGCGCTGTGAAGTCATCTAGGGCAGGCGAGGTTCAATGCATAGGTATTTCTATTCAAACTGTGAACCCAGAATTTACTGACTGAAAACATTTCTGAGAGAGGGATTGATGGTTTCCTATTGCCATGCACGTAAATAACAGTGAATCAGTAAAGAAGAGAAAAATTAGTCTGGGAAAAACCAAAAAAATGCAAGACTTTTTTGTGTACAAACCAATGTAATATTGAGGCTTCTTCCTGAGATGATGTCAAAGTTGTGCTCATAAATATTGAAGTACTTATCAGAATAAAAAGCAAAAAGGCATTGAAATACCCTTTGAACTATGGAAACTAATGTTGAAAGAAAGGTTTACTGAGGCACATAGGTGCATTTTACAGCTTTGTATTCAAAAACATTGATTGCAGCTACCCTTTAACACCCAAGACACTTGGTCTTTAAGGTTGTGCTCTGTTGATTTTCATTTTGTGGTTGATTTTGATCTTGAATGCTCTGATCAGATTGCGGCAACACCACCATAAGTTTGGGTAATCAGGGGAGTATGTACCACCTGACCTCAGTCAACTACCCAGCCGATTTCCTGTACGGCATCAGCTGTCGCTACTTTGTGACTACCACTGCGGCCAGGATCCTGGCCAGCTTCCGGGACGTAGAGATCCCCGCCACAACCTCAAATGACTATCTACGCATTGGCAATGGGGACACCGTCAGTGACGCCACAGAGATCCTGCGCGTGACCGGAGTCTTTCTGCCCCAGGACGTCGTGTCTGAGGGCAACCGCCTGTGGTTTGAATTCATCAGTGATAGCAGTGTCAACAGCCGTGGCTTCTGGATTGTGCTGGTGGCCCAAGGATAGGTCTAGGATGCTGTGTGATTAATTTGATCAGTGATGACATTACCAGATGATCTTTTGGAGCAATAATGTGACTCAGTTAAGTACAGTAGAGATAATACATCTTCTACTTTATATGTGTGTCTACGTTATTAAATCAATGCATTTGTTGATCACAAGGGCACAACATTGTACAGACAGAGTTGCATAATGTTGAAGGAGATGTTCACAGGAAAAGAAAATAATTTTCACTTGGCTCTATCTGAAGTGGAGCACTTGGCCCTTTTTTCTGATATTCCTGCAGCATTAGTGTTAGCTATGAAACTTGATAAACTTTAAATTGAGGTGAGTATTGCATGTCACATGATGTATTCAGTCTAGTAAATGCATTCCAGTAAATAAAAAAAAATCAGCATAAGCTCAGCTAATATGATAAGCTTCAAACTCTGTTGAATATCATGTGGCATGTGACATATTTTATATTCATTTTATCAAACAAGTTTTGTTGACATGTGCAATGTACCATGGGATTGAATGACAAGCAATGTATTATTTGTACAACACCGTAAAAGGAGTACACCTGCAGAACAATATTTGTGTTAACCTTATCAAATACTCCAAATCAAGCAACCCTCTGTCAGACTGTGTTGCCATTCAAGATTAAGAATGAAGTAATTTACAAAAGTCAATTATTAGAGGTTACATTTTTTCAAAAAGGGAAATGTGGGGAATTGTGAATATTAGTGAGCTAGTTTTGGGCCACTCAGAGAAAGGATTCAAAACTCACTCATCCAGCATTGACCGCATTCATTTTATGGGCTCAAGGGACTGGTGCCCTATTAAGAAACACTTACTGGCAATTTCTGTCTGTGTTTAAAGTTGTGAAATAATATTTTATTCTTTATATATTTTGTTCACTGTGCTTGCATCTGTGACCGGATGAGCAGGTACTTCAGGAATTTTCTGAAGAAAATGGTTCCTAAACTGTTTGACTGGTTCACTCTCCCATATGTCATCCACGTGAATTCTGCAATGCAGATGGAATATCTACACAGTTCAGTTCAGAGTTTGATGACGAATTGTCTTGAAAATGGGGGCAAAATAGATCCAGGAATTCCAATCTCATAATGCACTCTAACAAGTTTATGAACCATTACCTCCATACATAAACCCAACTTCTTGTCTATCTTGTCATTTCAAAATCAACTCGAAAATTTTGTCAAAGTAACAACCCATAGCTTTACCAAATCAGACTTATAACCCAGGGACATTTTAATCTTGTAAAAATTTAACTTTCTGCACGATTTCAGGTAAAACTATTACTCAGTCAAGGTGATTATAAAACAAAATCTGTGCCACTTAAGCATTTATGTCGCTAATCGTATCAGTAAAATTAAAGTGGAAATTTTTGTTTTGTTTTGTTTTTGTTTGTTTTGTTTTGTTTTTGCGTTTTGTTTTGTTTTGTTTTGTTTTGTTGTACCAAAATAGTGAAAAGACTTGTGTTATTCTTGTAATCTAACATGTATTATTGTTAATCGGAATACTTCTTAAAGAAGAACTATACATAAGAAATAATCAGCATTTACACGTTGGGCTTTGACTAGAATTTGCATATTTTAGGAATGGAATTTTCTTTTTGATTTCACTGAATATATAATAAATTAAGATGAATCAGTTGAATGTAAATCTACTGTTATTATATTAAACATTTGAGTTTATTTTTATATGAACATTGGAATTTAATTTACTGCTGGTGGAGTCCAGGGGCGTGGCCCCGGAAAGTACAGAAATGACATTTTTACTCCTGAATTTCAAGTCAACTCGGATAAATTTTGGAAGTAATCCAGTTATATTTGGGCCCCTGAATGGGATACCCATTCGCCATTATACGGTGTTAAAGTGTGAGCTGAATATTTCCCGAGTTCCAATGGTCCATTGATAATGCACAGCATGCTTGTAATTGCTTAACAGGGATCAATGAACCAGTCAACTGGCAGTAAAGGGTGCTTCATAAGTAGACAAATTCACAAAGAAATCTGGGATATTGCTCTGTTTATAATTTTGTGGTTTTTGTAGTAAAAAGTGTAGTGGCGGAATTTTTTGTGATCCTCAATTATATACTTGGGCCTCAGACTATAAAGAGGTTTACAGAGTTCTGTCTGTGTTAAAAATAATTACATTGACTTTTGGTTTAGTGTCCCATAGATCTTGCAAAACCTTATCCCTGCAGTGTCACAATGAAAAAGACAAATCTACCGAACTCTTCCTATTAAAACGAATGTAATACAGAAATACAAACTGCTGTCGGTAAACAATATAATATTATTGTCCTATTATTGTTTGTAATTTTATAGTAATAAACAAAAACGAAAGGGTGGAGGGCTCTATGATCCTTTGATTCCGAAGTATTTTTATTTGGTTATTGAGTCAATTGCGTTTCACTGATGTTGCATCATCATCTGTTTGTTTTATTAGAGGAATAATGCGTTAACCCTAACAGTCCCAGATCCTCTGATTTCAATATGATTTTACATACACCTTGGGGGTTAATGTTAATAATAGGAAAGTGCTCTGTAGACGCTTTTTCATCCGATTTTTCCTTGCAACTAGTGGTGTCTTAACAACCAAAAGCCGCTCAGCATACTATGGCCAGCAGAGTGGCGCAGTGGAAGCGTGCTGGGCCCATAACCCAGAGGTCCGAGGATCGAAACCTCGCTCTGCTACTAAAAGTTTTTCAGCTTTTTTTTTTTTAAGCTGACCAACCGATTGAGCAATAAAGACATACATAATGTGTAGTAATTAGGCATTTCATCAATGGCTTAGTGTAACAAATAACGTTCGCCTGTGCTTGTTCTTAGCCATGTTCACATCCAAGAATCTCATAACAAATAGGGCCTACTGCAGTTTCCCCCTTTCAATAACGTCAAATGGATATTGCAACATTGGCTTTTCCTTGTTGCGACAATCTTAACGAAGATCAATACCAAATTAGTAAAATAACAGTGGCGCGGTTTTCCATCTTTAAACGACTCTTCCATGTTTGTGATTCAAATTTCACTTCATCCATGGATTTTGCATCATCTCCTTTCCTCGCGACTAATGATGTGTAAACGACGAAGACGCTACGCTAAAAGCGTACAGCAGAGTGGCGCAGTGGAAGCGTGCTGGGCCCATAACCCAGAGGTCCGAGGATCGAAACCTCGCTCTGCTAATTAATGTGCACGTTTAACATGAATTAGATTTATTTTTCGTTAATTTCCGTTTCTAAATAACCTAAGCTGAATTTCAATTTATCTATCCCGTCGCGAGCAGTCAAAATGCTGTGGCGATATCGTAGTTTTCTGTGCACACACACTACCTACACACGGGTTCTACCTCAACATTCCATTTTTATACATGTTTTCTTGTCGAAAGTCGGTTGTACCAACTTGTTTGGAAAGTTGTTTATTAAATGAAAATGAAGGTGAATCTTGACTACCGATCTTTTTTTTTTTTGAAGGGCTGGAAATACGTGAATGAATTCTTACTTTAGTTATATTCGAGAGTGATAATGCATTGGAGCTATCTGCTTTCTAACAGTTTTTGACTGGGAAGGTGGGCATTGAAACATGATTGGTGGAGATCTGGAAGTTGTAACGTTTTTATTTAGTTTCGCCCTTTTAACACCTCCTCCCTGTATCACAAAGAAATCCTAAACGAACGACATACACAAATATGAAAAAAAATTGTCGATACAACAAATGTCCTATCATTTTTTTATAATTTAAAATAAACCAAAAAGGGGGAGTCTACGAATCCCTGAAGAATTTGTTTAATTAGTTATTAGTCAATTTCATTTCACTGATATTGCACCATTTTTTGTTTCGTACGAGGAATGATGCCTAAATAACAGAAATGCGCTTTGTGTAAAGTTAGGATTGCTCTGCTAATGAATGCATTAATTTTTTGTAAACCTGTGACTTTTTGTAAATACAGTACAGACCTATTTTGTTTCCTTTCATTGAAATTATTTGAGATCATAAGAGGAACAACTAAGCGAATTGTCGCCTTACAAGATAAGCATACGTTTTATTCAGGTATATTTTGCTGAACTTGTGGTTATTGCGTCATCTTATTTTCCTTACGACAAGTGCAAAGTGTCTTAAAGACAAGGACTCTGATATAGACTTTGTACAGCAGAGTGGCGCAGTGGAAGCGTGCTGGGCCCATAACCCAGAGGTCCGAGGATCGAAACCTCGCTCTGCTATTCTGTTTATATATTTTTAAATTTCTAACTATTTTTTTTCTTTTTAATTGATAGCCCTGGCGGAATTGCAATTTGTACATCCCTTCGGCAGCAGTTGCAAAAACAAACACAAATACTACTGGAATATAATATGAATGTTGTCTCTTCCGTACATCATTGCGTGCTGGTTCTTGGTCGAGTTTGTTGGGCCGGGGGTGCTTTCCATAAGGGTCCTTGCCCTATCTGTCCACTAATGGCTTGTAATATTTTGTGATCCCACGGGTTATTTACAGCAAGAGGTACCATTATCGGGACTGATCATAGAGTTATTTCAATAAATCACGAATGCGGGACTTTTGATTTCAACTCAGGGTTAAAACCTCTAATTTTTGAGCCTATTTTGCATAGGGGCCAGGCGGCCACATTCACACTTGACAGCATATTTTGACTATTATTTGGGGGGTATATTCGGGGACGGGCGAAAAAATAATTGCGTGACTATCCCTCATGAAACTGAAACGAAAACTGAGCTTGTGGCCAAAATCTAATTTCCAGTGAAAAGAAATGAAACACGCGAGGCCAATCTGTTCCTGGGAATCACCCCAAGGCGGCGCTATTTCTGTCCAATATTTTACACGAAGTGCAAAAGGATCCACCTGCGCCGCCAATCAGAAATAGATACGAAGGTGCGCGCGCGCAGATGCGCAATGATGGCGGATTGCTAGGCTACACGCGGGTTTTACTGTTCTTCAAATCTGGTTGATTTACACATGGATTTTTGTCGAAAGTCAGTTGATTCGACTTGTTTGGAGAGGTGTTATTCTGATACATCGCTACTGGAAAAGTGTTGTGAAAAGAAAGGTACTTGAATTTGACCACTTTTGTTTGTAGCGGGTGTGAAATGATTCTGTGCATTTGTATTTCAGTCCATTTTCCGGACACACCTCGGGTGATGACACCCATGCATAGGCGTTGCAATTTTTTTCCGGGGGAGAGGGCACTTAACTAACTCACAAACTGTTAACAGTGAATAAGGGTAAATTCCTTGGTATTTTAGCGCATTTTTTCCACATCCTTTTCCCCCTTTTTATTTTCCGTTTAATTTTTGTTAGGCCTAAATACCTTTTTTGGAAAGAGTTCCATGCAGAGAGATCACTTGAAGTTGATGCCCTGTGCACAAACTGTGGGACTGGCCTGAAAAATTGTCTTTTCTAAGTAAATGCTTATATAGTTTCCTTGCTAAATTTGACTTGTTAGGACAAGTTATTACTTTCTGATATCTAGTATTAGTAAACCACTGCAAGGGAAAATCAGTGATGTCCGAATATTGAACTCTTACCTAAGCTGTTTACTTGCACTTCAGGGAAGGTCCCAAAAAGTTCCACATACGGACAACACTAATTTGCCTTTGCAATGGTTTACTAATACTAGCCGTCAAAAAGTGATAACATGCCTGAAAAAGTGAAGTTTTGCTAAGAAAATTCTGAAGCATTTACTTAGAAAACATGTATTTGAGACAAGTCTCATAGATTTGTGCACAGAGCCTCAAGTGTTGTCTGTAGGCCTGTATAGAACTCTTTCCCTTTTATTTATTTATTTATATTTTTTGTGGGGAAAGCATCACCCTTGCGCTCCCCCGTGCCCATGTTCCTGTTTATGATCACAAGTCTCTATTGGTACATGCCAGATACATGTACTTTCTGACAATGGTGGTTGAACAATTTTTGTCTAAGCGGCATAAGCTATTGGTAACTGTTCACTTCGGCACCTTGCCAACTCGGCATCTGTGCAAAAGCTAGATCAGCACCTTGCCAACTCAGCATCTGTGCAAAAGCTAGATCGGCACCTTGCCAACTCGGCATCTGTACAAAAGCTAGATCGG